GGCTCCTGCAGCCCTTCTCCCGCCGCTGTTCTGGGGGCGCTTAGGCGTGTGCGGGGGTGCCAGGCCTGTCCCACTCTGGCTTCGCTGCCGTGCAGGGCAAAGTGGGCGCAGGCCTCGGCCGCCCACCAGCGGCTGTGCTGAGAGAGCCCACGTGTCCTCGGGCTGTAAACATCTGAAGCAGAGGGCTTAGCCAGGGAGCGGGCAGTCCTGCTGGGGGTCGGAGCGGGGCTCTGATCTCTTTCCGGGCCGGCTGCCGGGGCTTTGAAACTGCGGTGTGTGCGTGCGCGGACATCTGAGGGGCCTGACAGTGGTGGAAAAGGCGATTCTGGTACTCAGGGCCTGTTTTCAGCCACTTGAAGTGTTGTTGAGTCGGGGAGGGAGTAAACTGCAGCGGCGCTGAAGGGGTTTGAACTGGGTGATATTACAAGTACCACGTAGTATGTTTCATAATTAAGAAAAAATTTAAGAACTAAATGGGAATTATAGGGAGGCAAATTTGGGTTTACTGTAAGTAAAGACTTTACAATAAATAAATGCTGTCTGGAAGCTCTTGGTCGGCCGGGAGTCCAGCGTGCTGGACTGGAGGCGGATTTCAGTATCTAGACGGGCTTCGGAAGACCTTAACTCCCTTCTGTCCCCGTCAGTTCCCGGATTTGCAAGGAGAGAGTTCAGCTTACTTGGCCTAGCCGCTCGAGCCCGCCGGCATTTCATTTTCTGCACCGCTTTCTGCTCGCTTCGCCGCCACCTATACCACCATCCTCCACCCTAGTCCCGGACTGTAGGAAGGCGTCAGGCTGTTGGCGGGAGTATGGGTGTGCGCAGCCTGGGATCTCCTGGGGAGCAGCGAGGCTACATGGAAGGTTTAGTGGGGAAGTCCAAACCCAAACTGCGTCTCCAGCTCCCTGCGGCCCGACCTCACTCTTTCCTGCTCCCGGCGCATTTCGGTATCTATTGTGCTATCTATAAGATGCCCTGTTTCATCAGCGCATTGCTCCCCTACCTGCTACAGGACCCACGCTGTTTCAGACTTGCTAGCTGGGCTGTTCTAACTGCAGAGTAAAGCTTACAAAACAACGGAATTAATTTTTAAAACATTTTAAAGAAAGACATGTTTTTAAAAAACCAAGTTAATAAAAATACCCCCTTTTCCTTCTTGGTGAACAGTATTTTAAAACTGTTGTTTAAAACAGGGTGTCAATTTAAGAATGATGTTTATAGTTAACCTCATTTAAAAAGTAATAGTTATTAAATTTTAATTGCAGAAGTGTAAGAAAACAAAACAGTTTATAAGCCCACCGCCCACAGATGAACACTTGTTGAAATAATGTCATTGTTTTTAAACTTTCAGTTTTTTAGCTCTGTAAGAGCATTTTGAATAGATATTCTTTCAACTGAACCTGGTTGCCTGTCAATATTTGCCCCTAACAATGCCAGTTAGTAAACCTAACGATTTTTTTTTGTTTTTAATTATAAGATGCTTAAACATATATTTAAAACAAAACCAGACAGGAAATATCCAGCTTCACTAACTATCAAAACTCGTGGCTAATCTTGTTCCATCTATAAATGAGCTGGTTTAAGCATATGAAATAAGTAATAATAATAATAATAATAATAATAATAATAATAATAATAATAATAATAAAGCTATGGGAGGTTTGAGCCTGAGATACTTCCTTGTGGTGGCCTGTGTTTCCAGGTGAGGCCTCTGAGATGGAGACATGAACTGGGCAGAGCTCCCCGGGCAGGTAGGTGGGATTCCAGTATCTACCTCCCTGCTAACTGACTGTGTGACCTTGGGCCAGTTACTCAACTACCCTGAGTTTTGGTTTCATCATCCAGAAAATAGGTTGTTTAAGGATTAAAGGCAAGTAATATTAATTCTCATCCCCAATGCTTCCCTTCCCTTTGTTTAAAGTAATATGTCAAGTTAGTGTTATAATAAGACCCAAAGCTGGGCTTCCTGACTCTTAGTTCAGTCTTCTTCATCAACAGAGCTGTCCTTCTGTCCCTCTCATAACTATCATTTGGATCTAGGCTGTGTAATTAACTAGTTATCTATCCCTCAGTATTTGCCAGGCAAGCTTACCTGTCATTTCTAGCTACCAGCTCTTTGTCGAGCATCAGTCACTCTCACCAGCCCCCTGCCATCTATTTCTACTGTCAATATGTATATTTGTCTCTCAGAGCTCTCTAATCTGTCCCTCACAGTAGCTACTTTATATCTAGCCATGTACTTCTGTTTGCTCTCATTAAACTGCCTCCCCAAAGCTGGTTAATTTATATTTCTTACTTTCTATTCTCTTCTTCTTCCTGACAATAACTCCTATTTACCAAACTGTTGATTATCTCTTTATGATCTACTCTGTTTTATCTTCTGTGTATCCACTATCCCTCTCAAACTTCCATCTCTATAGATGTACTTAGCAGCTGGCAGATAGTATATGCAATGTCTGCTAATGGTTATCTCACCGGCCCTGGCTTTGTCTTCTGAGCCTCAGTTGCTGTATCTGTAAGATTGAATGAAACGAACTCCAGGGTCCTTTTCAGCCCTGAGCTTCCAGCTCATCTGTTTTCTACTTCTCTGTATTTCTGTTTATAATCCCTCCTCCAGGTTCTCAGAAGTCACGGCATATTTCCCATATATCATAATACATACAGGAGTTTGCTGTTGTTTAATAATCTGCCATGTCCAAATGTCAACCTGTGCACTGGTTGCATCTGTCTCTCAAAGAAATCTTAACATGCAGATTCCTAGGCCCTGCTCAGGAGATTCTCTTAGGAGTTCCAGGGTGGGACCCAGGAAAGTTTTAAAAACAGCTCTGTAGGTGATTCTGATGAATAATGGGTCTGAGCATCTCAGCTCTGGGAGGCAGAGGCCGAGCCTTCCTACTCACTGTGCCCCAGGGCCCAGCTCAGTGACCAGCAAGGAGCAGATGCTCCATAAACATGTTGAATGAATGGGCCAATTTCTCATGGTTGTACACTTATCCATATGTTAACTTTATCAGTCATTTCCTTCGTTCTCTGCCGTCACTGCTCCCTCCCTGTCGCTCTCCTTCTGTCTTTCCCTTACACTTTCATAGCTGATTGTTGATCTAGATGATCGAGTTTTATTTACCAATTCATGGGGGAAACTTCTGGAAGGCTTAGGCAGATCAGTGTGTGGGCCTTAATCCAGAGTTCAGGGGTGTCTGTATGCCCAAAGCTCTAGTGTGGGGTGTTGGGAGATGGGAATCCTAAGCATCTCTGTTGCAGGTGGGGCTTTAGTTTGGTTAGGAGCGGGCTGTTTGTGCTGGGATGGCCATGGGTTAATCCAGGTGGTGGAGAGAGGGGCCCTGGGCAAGGGCTAGTTCTCCCTTCTGGCTCTAATTATTTGCTCATCACTGCTGTGGCACAGCCCGGGGGTCTGACCACGGTGAAGCCCACCTAAACTTTAGTTTTGGTGGCTGGTGGGGCAGACTCTGGCCTGGGTCAGATCAGAACCTCAAGCGCGAGTGAATGTGTGTGTGTAATGGGTGTGAGTAGTACGTGTGTGCGCCCACAATGTGGGGCACATGTGGGCTTAGTGTGATCGCTGCCCAAAGGTCAGGTGCTATGATCTATGCACATAGCCTGGTGTGCATCTGTGTGCTTCTGTGTACGTGGGGGGAGGGCGTGTTAATTTTAGACGGAGTGAGAAAAAGCATTTTGTTGCTCTAGGCTGACCCATTGGTTCGTGTTTCCAGATGCTCCTTCTGCTCTGAATAGTTCAGGAGGTGTTTCTTGACCTACCCTGGCTGAATTTAGCTGAGCTGTGAGGGAAAAGGGTGCAGAAATGTGGCTCTTGGCTTTGGAGAGCCCTCATTCAGTGCTGGGGCCTAAATGCAAAATGTGTATACTTGTGGGGTGTGCATGGGATGGGTGACTGGAGTCCCCTTGATGTCACAGCTGTAGACTCGGAGGTCAGGGGAGAGCTGCGTGGGCGGAAGGCTCCTGGAAGGCCGCAGACATAGAAGGCTTGGAGGAATGTGTAGGATTCTAGACTGGTGGGAAGGAAGGGGAGGGTTTGAGATTAAGATGGAGCAGGAGCTGTCAAGTCTGGCTACCGTCTTGGGGCTAGAGAACAAGCAGGAAGGTCTTAGGAGGCAGGTGTGTGTGGCCACCTGCCTATGGATTTTTTCCCCAGAGGCATGGTAAGAAGACTTCTGCTCAAATACTCTGCCTTTTGGGCGTTGGATGAGAGGGAAAGATCTGAGTGACGTGAATTTTAGGGAAAGGTCAAGAGGCCTTTGTTACTAGCTCACTGTGTGTTCTGAGACAGACTCATTCCTTCTCTAAGTCTCGGCTCTTCTTTAAGAACTTCTGCACCTCTGAAGCCCCAGGAGTCCAGTGGGAGGCAGGAGAGGGCAGGGGAGTTAAGGGAGACTGGAGTGCTTCTCTGAGGTCATGGTCCTGAGGAGGCAGACGAATCTTGCGATGTCTCCCTGAGAATGAGGGCAAGCATCCAGGGTGATATGAGAGGAGATGAGAAGGCTTCGGAAGGGTTCGGGCTCTGGCTGATGGGGAGTCAGAGGTGACCTCAGTTTGGTGGGGTGAGGGTTGGGCTTTGCATGGCATTGGGCTTGACCTTGAGAGTGGGAGCAGCTCACATGATCAAATGTTAGGAAATGGATCCCAGGGGAGAGGGCAGGGAGGAGGCAGGCTGAGGAGTGATCTGGTTGATGTCTCCAAGCCTCTGCCTAGTCTGAGGACTTCCTCTGTGTCTGAGGGTGACAGAATAGGAGGACACAGAAGAGATAACAGTAAGACATAAGGAGGAACTTGTTGTATCAGTTACGAGACTCAAAAACTCCTTGAAAGAGGTATTTGAACTCCTTGAGGAGAGGACAGGCTTCCACCTGAAAGTATGCAGGGGCCAGGAGCCAGGAGCCACAGACGCCCACTAGAAATGGGCTAAGTTTGAGGAGTGGTGGAAAAGAAGGGATCCAGACCTGGTCCATTTGAAGGCAAAGTCTGAAATATTGCCCGGAGCTATAGTGTCCTTGTCTGTAAGTTCATTTGTCCATTCACTCATGCACGCCTTCATTCATTAATGCTCACCGTGATCAATCTGCTAACGCATTGATGCTTTCATTCATTCATTCATTCAACCACAGCCATTTCACCTTCTTTATCCTGCCTGACTCACGCTGACCCTTGTCCCCTCAACAATGGATCTTCCTCTGAAGCTTTCCCCTTAGAAAAGGGCAATTCAATCCACAGCATGGAGAATCAAGAATTGATCTTCTTGTAGAAGTGTCCACTAGACTAAGCCAAAAGAGGACTCCATCTCTCCAGCAGTTAGCACTTCCCAAACTCCTTTTTCAATTAGACCTCATCCCCTCTGCCGTTGATTTTCTCCAATTTTCCAGGTTGGCCCAAGCACCTCTTGTCTAGAGCATGGGGCTCAGCCACTTCACTTCTGCCCTGCTGGCTGAACATACTGGAAAACGCCCGCTGGTGCTCCAAAGCCGGCTCTCACACCCCTTGGGTTCTCCAGATTCCCACAGACTGGTGTGGAGGCAGAGTTTTAAGCAAATAAATTAGTGCATTGCTGGGGTCACTGTTACCGAGACAGAGAAAAGTACTAAGTACAGACAGGTCATGGGGCACATCCAGACCAGGAACATGTGAGCAGGGTTTTGAAGGCTAAGTAAGAGTATTCCAGGTGGTGTAACTCAGACAAAAGTGGAGGCTCTTGGCAGGATCTCCCTTATATGAAAAACTAAGAGGCATTGAGTGAGGTGAGGACTTCAGAGGCCGCAAGGAACCACTCCCCAAACCCAGAGGACTCAGAGATGGGTGAGGGGTTCCTCTAGCCAATGCCCCAGTTGTGCCCTGGGGGGCTTGAAGAAAAGTGAGCGGTGTGCCGGGCTGGGGGAAGGCAGGTGCAGAATAAGCAGCCTCCTGAGGCCGCCCCCCCACCCCCACCCCGAGCTGGTAGCCACGCTGTGTAATCTGGTTCCTTTTGAGGTCCTCATCTTCTAGGGGAGTGGCTCTGGGGTGACCCCAGAGTCTCATGACTGCATGAGAGAGCTCATGGGGTGTCTTCTTGTCTCTTACTGCACTCAGAGCCCAGTTCCTTTCCTTTATCCAAATAAAAGAATTACTATTAATTGTTATCAATAATGCACTAAAGAAAAGTCAGAAAAGTGGAGAGAAGAAAGAGAAGTCACCCACACTTGGGGTCCACTTCCTTCTAGTCTTTTTTTCCCCGTGCCTCGGCTCTGTTTTGCTTTGGTTGTGATCACGCTGTGCCCAAACTGTGCATCCTGCCGTTTTCACTGATATTACTAATCCATAAGCATCCCCTTGTTACTACAGTCTTTGTAAACAGCATCTGGACACTCAGCCCAAGGCTGTTCTCAGGAAGATAGCCAGGCTGCCTGGGGAGAGTTTTTGTCCCTGTTTCTAGAGAGCTGCCTCCTTGACCCTAGTAGTGTTCATGGAGAGAATATTCAGAATCACTTTTCATTTGAGTGTGCCAGGAAGCTGCCCCTGGTGTGAAAACACACCCTGTGCCTGAATTTCCACCCCGATGCGTTCCTTCTTTGGGCCGGTGATGCTGGGTAAGGGTAGCCGACTGGGTCCATCCCACTAGAGGGGAGTCTTCTTTCTGGAAGGAGACTTGGGAGTGTGTGTGGGAGAAAAATGTGCAGAAAGGGGCCCTCTGTCCCCGGTGATGCCCAGGGCTGCCCCGAGTCACCTGTGACCAGGCTGGCCACGCTTAGCCCTTGGGGCTCTCAGGAACACCGCCCCAGCCCTGCATCCAGGCCTGAGTCACACACACACACGCCTTGCACAGGAGGCTGGGCGAGCTCACCCGCCTACGGGCTGGCACAGCCACAGTGGGCTCCAGGGCTGGGGGCAGGGGCCAGGCTGGTTGCCAAATGGGTGTGCCGAGAACCACCTAGGGCCCAGCCCGCCCTGTGCCCAAGGACAGGTGGCCATGGAATCAAGAAGCCCTGTGCCTAGAGCATCCACCATCGTCCCTATCTACTTGAGGTGGGCCATGCAGGCAATGGTTTTGAATGCTGCCGTGGAAGGAAGGGAAGAAGGCGCTCCCCAACTCCATCCACCAATACCAGCCACTTCATCTCCTCCTGTCCCTGGCTGACTGCTCTGCGGAGCCCTGGCTGCCCTCACTCCCCTCCTAGTGCTCTAAAATCAAGGGGCAGGGCAGGGCAGGTGGTGCCATGGAAACCCTGGGGAGGGGCAGCTAGGGGGAGCCCTGGGTTGGGTGGGCTCCATGGAGGGGACCGAGGGGAGTGTCTGGGAAGTGTGAGGGTGGACCACCCTGGGCAGGAGCTGCTCCCTGGGCCCAGATGCCAGGCCTGCTTTGGCTGCCTCTGCCTGGCTTTATGGCTAAGGCCTATGCTTTTCACCCATTCTCGGGGAGCAGGGGCAGAACTGGGTGGTGTTTCTCAGGATTGCCCTTAACCCCACCCAGGAATCAAGCATCTCCCCTCAGCAGTCACTGCTGCTGCCAAAACTAGGGTGCTCTCTGTCTTTCCACTCGCATGACTTACCACTCCCCACCTGCATGGGCACCACGGGTCGATCACTCCAGCTGCAGCTGGCAGCACCTACTTGCTTTTTAACTGTGCTGTCATTTCCAGGAAACCATCCATGCCTTATAACCCAACCCGTCTGCATCACCTCCCGCAGGGACCCTCTGGAACAAAAGCCTAGGAGGTGCCCTGGTGCTGCAAGGGCCCCAGAAAACATCTCACCTATGGGTGAGGGTCTCAAGTCCAGAGAGGGGAGGGAATGTAGCGGCACCCAGGCCCCTCCTGCTAACTCTGCGGCTGATCTGGTCTGGCCTGGTTCTGCAAGGCTGAGTAAAGGACTGTAGTCAGGAGGAGTTGACAGACCAAGGCCTTCTCCACATTCGTCAAGACCTAAGACTAATTGGGAACCAGGATGATCCTCCCAGGTTTTGCACGAAAAGATGTTAAAGGCTGTCTGTGTCCTGGACACTAAGCAAATGCTGGAGGAGTTGGGAGAAGGGATGGATGATCAGAGATGAGACTAAATCTGGGGAGGCTTCCTGGAGGAGATGGGCTTAGTGTCATAGACCTGCACTTGCCTTCCTGCCCCGCCCCCACCACCTCCTCATTACAAAGGATGGTTGTCTGGTCTCTGACCTCTCCCCTTGTCAGGGCTCTCACTGCCTGTCACAGAAGTGGGGGGCTCTCTGTGTTTAAAGAGGAGCTCACTTCTGTCCCCTGGGATTTCTCCTGACTGTTCCTTGTGTGACCTGTTTCCACATCTGGATGGGCTGCCAGGGCCAGTGTTATGGGGGCAGGAAGCCAGAGTGCTGCCCTGGGTGGGGCTGCAGACACCCCTATGTCTAAGGAGGGTGAGGCCTCACTGGTGGATTTCAGACTCCTCTGAGGGGCTGGCACACAAGGGGCCAGGACTCCCCACTTACCCAGCTCTGCCTCTGTTGTGGGGTGGGGGAGTTCCTCCTGAGGTCACTAAGACAGCACCTCCTGGTGAAACAGACCTAGATGGCCTGAGATGTTAGCGCCTGGAGCGGAGGGGTCCAGGACCCTAGGAGTGCTCTGGCTGCCCCGGGCACTGCTCTTGGTGTGGCCACCGCCTCCTGGTTATCGAGTCATGTCCACTCTGTTTCTTTGTGCCACAAAGGGCACAGGGTGGCCCAGAGGGTGTTGCTAACACCCGGCTATCAGGGAGCCCAGCAGGACCTCTGTGATGGCTTTTCGTATGTTCCCTCATTTACGTTCATGCCAACCCTGTGAAGAAGCAATTATCAATCTCTTCTCTAAAAAACCCGTAGGGACCCAAGTCTCTTTCCTTTACTGTGGCTACAGGATCCAGGCTGCTCAGCAGCTGCAAGATCCCCTCCTCTGCTGAGAGGGACAGGAAAACGGTCCTTTCTGGCCCGCTGTGCCCTCCCCGTGGCCCCCTCGCCTTCGCATCTGGAAGGGCAGGCCCCCAGACCTGGCAGGTGGCACCGGCCAGAGGAGGGGACCATGGCCTCGGTTTCCCCATCTGGCTCCCAGCTCAGCCCGAGTGCTGAGGCCCTGGGGGCCGCTCTGGGGGCCTCCTGGGTGTTTCTCACCTGTGCCCCTCCCTCCCTGGCCCAGGTGAAGGTGTGGTTCCAGAACCGGAGGACAAAGTACAAGCGGCAGAAGCTGGAGGAGGAGGGGCCCGAGTCGGAGCAGAAGAAGAAGGGCTCCCACCACATCAACCGGTGGCGCATCGCCACGAAGCAGGCCAACGGGGAGGACATCGACGTCACCTCCAATGACTAGGGCGGGCAGCCACAAACCCGCGAGGGCAGAGTGCTGCTCACTGCTGCCAGGCTCCCCGCTGGGCCCAGCAGGACTCTGGCCACCCCTTGGCCGGGCTGCGTGGAGGCCTCGGTCACGGCTCCAGGGGCCTTGGAGCCTGGGGCACCACCGACAGAGGGACAAGGAATGGGCTGGCTGAGGCCCTGGACGGCTCTACCTTCTCCTTGGAGAGCCTGCCTGCCTGGGCAGGCTGTCGGCCACCGCAGCCTCCCAGCCACTCTCCATTTCTCTTATCTCCTTTTTGTTTTGATGCGTTCCTGTTTTAATTTATTTTCCAGGCGCCCTCTGTAGTTCTTAGTGATCCCCTTGTGCCTCCCTATGGGAATAATAAAAGTCTCTCTCTTAACAACACGGGCATCCAGCTCCAGCCCAGAGCCTGTGAGCCTGGGGTGGTGGATTCTGACTCTGAGGGCCAGTGGGATCTGGCAGAGCAAGCATGTTCAGGGCATGGGAGCTTGGGGTGGGACCTTGGAGACTCAATCCATTAACCCTTCTCCTTTGTTGGTGGTTGACCCTGGTCTCTAGCTCCAACTCCACAGCAAGAGAAATTGAGGCGGGACGTAGGGAAGGACCACGCTGTGTCTTGAAGGTGGCAATGTTCAAGACTTTCCAGGCTTAATGAGTCGTGGGAATCAGGCCCAGGTGGGTCAGGAGAGGAGAGAGCAACTGTGCTTCCCCATGCTTAGAGCCCTGACGGCCTCTCTCTTTGAGGGAAGAACAGGAAACAGGGAGTATTGTGGGCTGGGTGGAGGGGGCACCATTCACAGAAGCCGACAGTCCTTGCCCCAAGGCCTGGCCCCACCAGGATGCTCACCTGTCCCTGGAGAGCCCCCCTGGACAGATGAAAGCTTCAGAGACAGGGTTTGAGGCTGAGCTTGCCATCAGTTCCCAGACTCAGGGCCTTCCAGCCCGGGGAAGAGCCGCTAGGCAGGGCCCACTAAGCTGTCTGGCTCATTTGCCTCCAGTTTGTCCACTTGCTTTTCCTGCTTGTCATACATCAAGTTCTCCTTCATCCTAAGAAGTAGGGGGTGTTCTCCTAGCACCCCATTCCTTACAAGACCTGCCTCTACTTCTTGGTCTCCTATGTGCTCCCCAGCCCTCTGCTCTTCCACCTCTGCCTCACCACTGGGTGGATGCTGATGACAGTCCCCAACCATGGTTACCGCCACCCCCTTGTGGCCAAACTCAACAGCCTCCCATCTGGCTTGACTGCTCCCCATCTTCTGACCATTCCCTCCTGGACTCCCCCACCCTTCCCCACCTTCACACCAGTACCACTGACACCTCTCCCAGCCTTTCTGAGTCCTCCTCAGGTTTATCCGTGTCCCGTCACCTCTGTCCACCCCAGGGTCAGCCCTGGCTCCTCTGGCCTCCCTCACTGCGCCCGCCACTTCCAGGGCTGCTCTTTGTTCCCAGCCGACGCCTCCAGCCGACCTTTGCTGGGCTGCAGCCCCCCGAGCTGGCTGCCTGCTGCACTCCATGCCCCCCAGCTCCTCAGACCCGACTGTTCACAGCTGACTCATCGCTCCACCTGTTCTCCCGGACTGCCCACCTTCGCAAACAGCCAAGGTTTCTTCTGCCTTGGGAAACGGTGAACATGGATCCTGGGGTCTGGGAGGGGAATGGAGGAGTGGGAGGCATAAAGAGGTCTGTGCGGATGTCAAGGCTGAGGCCCACTTCAAAGGAGGGCCTCCATGCTGCGGCTAGGGTTCTCTTCCCTAAGCCCAAACAGGACCCCATCACCCCTTCTAAGCCCCACAGACGCTCCCTTCTTTCCACCCTTGCTGGTGCCCTCTGCTTCGGTCTCACCCGCGTCACCTTTGTCCCCCAGTGAACCATGGCTTTTGCCTGCGCTGTGCCTTTACTTATCCTATTCTTGGTGCCTAGAATGTCCTGGGTGGGGCGTTGATCAGTGTTGAAGTCGTTGGAAAGATGTCAAGGATGTCAAAGGCCCAGCCTTGTTGCCTGGGGGCACACACAGGGATCCAAGCACAGAAGGTCCTGCTGCTGGGGCTGTCAGTGTCTCTCCTGGGCCCAGTCAAGGCTAGAAACCAAAGGGCTGAAC